TCGACCACTGCTGTCATCTACACTGAAGTCTCTTGAAGTTTTTTTTAAATTTTATTGTAAATGTCGATAGTTGAATTAAACTTAAAACTACATAACCAAAACTGAGATAAGCAAAACGGAAATAATAAAAAACTAACTTGCCTCCAAACAGCGAGACGAAGGAGCTCCTTAATACTTAAATTTAAAATAATAAATTGTGGGTAATGTTAGTTAAAAAGCCTCCACGGACAAAACTAGCTGAAATAATTACTGATTAGAGAATTGTCAGCAGTTCAAGAGCTGTTGGCAACAAGGTCAGCGTTCTGGGATTCCCAGAGACCATTCGTGCTCGACCGATAGCAATTGCTGCTTATTTGAAAATATCTAATTATTAAAACTATTTTCATAACCTGGCAGCGGAACTATGGCTAAGACTGTGAAGGTTTTACTTAGCGAAGCAAAAGGAGGTTATTATCTAAACATAAACTTACTCTCAGCCACTAGCGGGTTCAGGATTTAATTTTGGGAAGGGGGGGGGCTTCAGCCCGAAAACTTTTTTTTCATATATATATAGATAGATAGATAGAAAAAAAACTTTATTCTCGGACTGCCCCTTTAGAATAACAAAATTGTACAAGAAGAATAGAATACTACTGGCCTAAAAGTTTGAAACAATAAATAAAATTAATAAAAGAAACTAAAAAGTAAAGAAAACCTTAGGTGAACAAGCTATATAAAATATAGATAAAACTATTTACAAAACATTTAAAACTATGAACAAAATACTTAAAACTATGAAGTTCCTCCTTCCCCCGTAGATTCACCTGTGCATTCAGGTTATAAAGTAAAAAGGAAGTTTTAGATTGCACCTTTAACAAACAATGGGGATGTTAAACTAGTCCCATTTTTGAAAAGAGGTCAGCGTGCTTTAAGTCGGTTTATTTGATCACATTTTTTTTCATGTTAATCATATTATTTTTCAATTTATATTTCTCCACAGTATTATTTTTCGTTATCAGTTCAAATTTAAAGTTTTTTATTTTTAAGATTTCACATTTTTCTCTTATTCAATTTATTATTTTTTGTACATATTGGTATTATTATTTATAATCTTATTGTGGATTTATTTTTATTATTTATCTGTTTCTCTTTTGTTATTTAAAATGGTCACTGAAATCATTCCAAGTGGTATAATGGAACGATGGAGTGGGAAAACTGGAGTTCACCTAATTCTATTTGGACCACAGGGGATCTACGGGGAGAGGGGGGACTTTTGGACTGAAGCCCTCCCCCCAAAATTGGGAAAATATAACCATGTTTTATGAAAAAAATTATCTCTAAAAGTATTAGGGGGCGGGGTGGCCGAATAGGCTAAAGCGTGTGTAACAGCACCGCTAGTTGCCTGGCAACCGGATAACAGTTTGAGATGAAATAAAAAGTACGAGTTCGCGTCCCGGTGCCGGAGGGGATTTTAAATTTCCCCGCCCTCACCCCCCGGCCCGGGAAAATCCCGTATAGCCTAAAAAGGCGAGGTAGGGAAGAACAACAAAAAAAAAAAAAAAAAAAAAATCTCTAAAAGTATTATTGATTCTCAAATTGCATTTAAGAGGGCTTAAAGAATCACTTAAACGCCATCTCATATAGGTAGTTAGTTTCTTTCTTTCTTCCGAATTAATAATTATCCTAATATATACATATAAAAAAAAATATCTTTCGGGCTGAAGCCCTCCCCCCAAATCAAATCCTGGATCCGTTAATGATTTGGACCATATGATATAAGACGCAGAGATGCCCATCCCTTCCCCCCCAAGGTCGATGGCGCAAGAACATATTCCCCCACTCCCAAGATATTTTACTGCTCATCTTTTCCTAAAAACAGAGTGTCACATCTTGTATACGGATGCCTCAAAAGTTGATAAGGAAGTAGGGTGTTCCGTTATAAATTTTAATACTCAAATAATAATAATAATAATAATAATATATAATAATAATAAGGCTTAGCGAACCCGAAGGTTCGATGCCGACACCACCAATCGCTTGTTACACACCTCCCTCCACCGTTCGCCGTCCAAACCCAGTCCCTTCAGATCGGCTTTAATGCAATCTTCCCACCTTCGCTTCGGTCTATCCCTCGGACGCTTACCATTCGGCACAGCAAATATTAACCTTTTAGGAATTCTCTCGTTACTGAGCCCAACAACTTTACAAGCCCATTTGATTCGCCGCGATGAAATTACCTCAATTATATTACCCGGATACAGCTCACGCAATTCGGCGTTGTGTAACCGTCTGAACTCTCCGGTTAACTCATCCTTCTTCGGTCCGAATATTCTACGCAATACTTTATTTTCGAAAACCTTAAGACGCTGCTCATCCCTTAATGTAAGCGGCCAAGTTTCGCATCCATAAAGAACTGTAGGCAAGATAATTGCTTTATAGATTCTAATTTTTAAGTTCCGGGACAAGTGGCGCGAACTAAGTAATTTTGTCACAAAAAAATAACAAGCATTTCCCGCCTTCAGTCTAACCTTAATCTCTTCTTCAATTTCGTTTTTTCTAGTTATCGTAGAACCTAGATACCTAAATTTATCTACCTGTTCAAACATATTACCATCTATATCGATACTACTGGTGATATCGATATAGATGGTAATATGTTTGAACAGGTAGATAAATTTAGGTATCTAGGTTCTACGATAACTTTTAATAGTCAAAAACTTTTCAAAATTCCGGAGGCTTGTTCAGTGTTTGCTGGTGAAATGCTAGCAATTAGAGAAGCACTTAAACACATAGAGACAAGTGAAACTACCAATTGGGCAGTGGTGACAGACTCTATGAGTTCATTACTAGCTATTGAACATATCAGGACCAAAACCACTCACGCGAAAGATGTAAGAAACGTTTGGTGGCTACTAAGGGAGAAGGGAAAAGAAGTAGCGTTCATTTGGGTCCCTTCCCATTGCGGGATCAACGGTAATGAACAAGCTGATCAAGCAGCCAACATGGCAATAAATCCAGATACAACATCCGTGGAATCAATTAATGAAATCCCTCTAGAGGATTACGTTATAGAAATTAAGGAGAATGTGTGGAACATGGGGCAAAACAAGTGGAAACAAGGAGAATTAAAAGAAATTAAACTCTACTGTTTAAAATGGGAAACCTCGCACCGACCATCTCGAAAAGAGGAGACAGCCCTTTGCGAACTGCGAATTGGACATTGTGAGTTCTCGCACTCCTACCTACTAAGAGGACTTGATTCTCCGACCGGCGAAAACTGCAAAGGACAGTAAAGCACATTATTCAGGAATGCCCTACATTTGAACCTACATGGAAAAAGTTAGACATGGCACAAAGTATAAAAGAAAACCTACAAGACAGTGAAAGTGCAGTAAAAAAACTTGATTAAACTCATAAGTAAAAAATAAGTATAAAAAAGTGATAAAACTCTACAACAGAGTGTAATTCAAAGGTGTTGCCAATGACCCTGCAGGGTAGAGGCAACAAAAAAAATCAAATAAATAAATAAAAACAGAGTAATGGAAGATAGAATTTTAAAAAATCCTAGATCTTATACAAGTATGCTAGCTCCAAGTTATCTCCTTGTTCCTTAGTATGAAACTTTTCATTCTGAAAATTCACAACCTCGCCGAAATGTGCCCCCCTCAAAAACTTAAAGCCCCGCCAAAATATACCCACCCCTCTCAAAAATTTTGATGGTGCAAGTTGCGCCATCAAACCCCCTTCTGGACACCCCTGATTAACTGTATTAAATGGGTTACAAAAATATTGATATGAATATGATTTTGGTTATTTTCTGTTAATTATGTTAAAAACTATAAATATTAATTAGAAGGGAATAAACATTTTTAAGTGGGCATAATAGTTACAATTTGCCTTATATTTCTACTATATATTATTTAAAATCTTAAAATTTAATACTTGCCAAAACGGTGCAGTCTATACTGAATTTATTATTTTAGAGATATAATAAATCCTTACCATTAAAAATGTAAAGAAGGCATCGTCAGCACTAACGGAAAAATTTTCTTTGACAGCTTTCAACTGCTTAAAAGTATTAATTGACTGAATATAGAGAAACAGAACCACCTCAGAGGCACGGTGACAGAACAGTTTTACCGTTACAGAGCAGTAACTAACTAAGAGGAAGAAAAAAATGTTTAAATCCATTAATAAAGAAGAAAAATTAATAAAGAAGTGTAACGCTTAAAATTTAATATATAAACCAGCCAAATTTCATACGAAGGGCCAATAATGAGCAAGATCTTCGTTACGGGTAGGAAGAGAGAGAGATATCCGCATGAATAACTTAGAAATCCAAAAACTTGGGTCACTTCAAAAGCGATTTCAAATATTAATATATAATTTGTCCATTCAAATTACTTTCTACCAGTTTTAGACAAATTTCAATAACTAAATATGTCAAAGTCACACTACAATTTCTTTAATGAACTATAAAGCAACTTAAACGTGCTAAAAATGGTGCAATTTTGACAATATTTTTTAGTTTTGTCGGGAAATTAATAAATAAACTTTCAAAACATGGACTGAAAATGTAGGGATCTATAGTTAAAACCCAACAAAACAAAAAAAAAAAGTAATAAAACCGGTCTACTCGTTCCTGAGGACAAAGACCAATAGTTGAAAATATGTTTTCGGACCCGGAGGGCTTTTAAACGAAAAGTCCACTTGAAAATAAATCCGCACATCGGAAATTTGATCGCAATACTTTCCTAAACTAGAGTAGCGGTAGGAAAGCAAAAGCAATGGTAAACATATTAATCATTGAAGTACTAAAATTTAAAACCAACACCAATACTTTTGAAATTAATATATTAAGATTTTATGAATACAGTGGTGTGTTTAAAAACCAAAAAAAAAAAAGAAAATTAATATTGTTAAGTGTCTATGTTCTCAAAAAGTGAGTGAAAAGAGGAAATCCAAAAGAAAAGGGAGAAGAATGCTCTCCTGAGCGATACGTCACTACCCCACTACTCTAACATTTTTCGAATAATCTACTTCAACTCCTCCGCTTTCTTTGCCAATTACTGATAACCTGGTCGCCTAGAGGTGTGATTTTGGTTTACAAATGATAGACCGATTTTTGGAAGATTGTTAACAGTTTATTTCTATTCAAAGGAGAATGATATCGTTTCGTCGCACCCTTTCATCACTCTGTTCAAAAGATAAACGTTTATGGGATGTATCCTCCTCGGAAAAAGTAATAGATTTTCTAGTATTGGTTTCTTTTTGTAATTACAATTCTTGTTATTTATTTATTAAACTGTTTTGAAGATTGGCCGGCAGTATTCCAGTTTTATTGGCTCCAAATTGTATAATCCAGATGATAAGGTTGATTTTGATGTGAGCAAAGATCCTAAAGAATGGAAGTATGTTAGTAGATTATTACCTGCTAAGTTTATCCCTGATCCTGTTGTTAAGGATAATTTTCCATCAGGATGGAAACCTCAAAGCGGTATGTTTCATAATTTAGATAATTAAATTCAATCTTTACTACATTAATAATTGTTAGTTATTACAAAAAAAGTTTCTTTTTTTTCCTTAAACTATGGTACACATAATTGAAGTTAGTAAAACTAGAACTTGGCGATTTGTAGAGTTAAATTTATCAATAGGATGGAATTACTTAACTCTTAAGCACTGGTGCTTACAACAATATGACCCCACTGTTTTCAAAGTGGCAATAACTCTTTATTTCTCAGTTTTTTTTGGTTGTGCCCTTCTGTGACATATTGACATAAAGTGTTGACTTGTAATTAATTATGAGGTAAATTCAGCGTGATCTCAGGCCAATCACCTGCATAACTGTAGTCAAAGAAATGGCTCCAGAAACAGTATTTTATTACAAAGTACAAAACTCCAAACCTTCCATGGGTTGTAGTGTTAATGGTCAGGTCAAGTTGTGGCCAATAATTATTTGTTGTGCTAATATAACCGTGGATTAGCTTAGAGCTTACCGAAGGGTTGGAAGACCATCATGGTGCATGCTCATCTTCTAAAAAGTGAGTACTTTCGATCAATTAGTTAAGTACAAAAAGCTAGTGGTTGAGCATGATCTGGGTCATATCACATCCTTCCACAAATATCGAACCAGAAACAATATTTTCTTACAAAATTTTGAATCTACGATTCTTCATGGGTTTCATTGGTACTATTTTTCAAATATTATGGTCGGGGAAATGATTATGCTAGAGTAAATGCTTTTAAAAAACGTATAAAGATAAGTGTTAAGTATTAGCTATGTCCTAAAGAAATAAAAATTAAAAGAAAACAACATTGTAAGTTATGAAATTTGGTTATTTTTCTGCTTTCTTTTTTGGTAGTTTAAAGAAACCAGGACATAACCATACAATTTAACTGTCACTTTTTGTAGGAATTGGAGTCACTTTCAATTCATGAAACAACTATGACTTAAGGTCAGGAAAATAATAAAATGTTTTTTGATAACTAATCAATCTTCCCACCTTTGCTTCGGTTCTACCCCTCAAACATTTACTAGTCAGCATAGCAAATATTAACCTTTTAGAAATTCTTTTTTTACTAAGCCCAACAATTTTACAAGCCCATTTGATTCGCCATGATATAATCTCACCAATTATGTTAACTGGATATAGTCCACGTAATTCGGTGTTGTGTTACCTTCTGAAATCTCTGGTTAACTCACCCTTCTTCGGTCCAAATATTCTATGCAATACTTTATTTTTTAAAACCTTAAGACGTTGCTCATCCCTTAATGTAAGCGGCCATGTTTTGCATCGATAAGAACTGTAAGTAGGATAATGATTTTCTAGATTCTAATCATTAAGTTCCGGAAAGGAGGCATGAGCTAAGCAGTTTTGTCACAGAAAAATAACAAGCATTTTCCGCCTTCAGCCTAACTTTAGTCTCCTCTTCAATTAATTTAATAATTAATTATATATTTTATTAATCTCACATTGTGAAATTGGTGAATCTATAAGTATTTTGCCATAAATAATTTTCTTAATCTAAATCATAAATATGGTGGTTAAGCAAGTATTGTTTCATAAACACTCTGTTTTCTAGTTGATGCAGTGAGTGGCCCTTATTACGTTAGGCGATCTAGGAACCATATGGTACCAGTTTATCTAACCATAGGACAGAGAGGTATCAAAAAAAGGACAACTATCCGTCATATATTGGGTGATATATGGCTCTTTAGCACTGATTTGAAAAAGTACATCGAAGATCAAGTAAAACACGATGTTGGGATAAAAGTAGATGAAGTCGGATGCCGAATAGTTCTTCGTGGTGACTATTTGCACTATGCTCAACAGTTTATTTTAGAAAAAGGAATGTAGTTGTGTTTGAGTGTTGACTCTAAGTCATATCGTATTAATTTGTAAATAGTAAATAATTATATTTTTATTTTATTTTTTCATTTTGTCTATTATATTATAAAATTTCCTACGTATGAATTATTTTTTAATTATGTGGCTATTTTAGTAATGAAAATAGAAATATTTTAATTATTATCGAGATATGAGATTTATCAAACTTAATATAAGAAAGGTTACATTTAAAAATTTTTTTTGGAAGATTTTAGTCATAGGGTGCAGTAAATGAAGAACAACATAGTTATAAATCAAGTTTATTGCCAACATTTTGACCTAAGATACAAGCCTTCATGAAGGCTTTAAGCTTGAACCAAAATATTAAATTTTTCATTTATTAAGTGTTTTTCTGTGTTTATTATACTGCCCGACCAATTTCTTAAATTATATCTCACCTCTACCTTGTCCAAACCATTTAAATATATTGCTCTTATAATATAATTGAGTGCCATTAAAATGTCTTACTATAGCTTAACCACAATTAGCTACCAGGCCAACGGCTAACTCATGCAACACTAACTTGAAATTAACATTTTCTTTTCTCATTATACCTATTTTATTGCAAACATTTACTACATAAATGTTTTGATGGAGCTAAATTTTAAGTACATTTTTGTGTTTCGACCTGTTTATTGATTCTAAAACACAGAAAATATAATAAAATGAGCAAATCCTTTTATATATCAAATAAGAGAGATATCGTATGTGAACAATGTTCTGATTTTTCAGAGGAAAAATTTGTCAAAGTACTTAGTAATTTAATTGCATGAAATGTTACATAATTATTGTCCTTTGCAGTGAAAGGACAATATTTTATAAAATGATAAAGATATCTCGTTTTTTATTTCTTACCACAAAAACTATCGCATCAATTAATACACATTTTTTTGTAAAATGATTTTTTGAACCATGAAGCTTTTTAGCGATTGATTTAATTGATCTGACCAGTAGAAAAAATTAAAAGTATTTTCAACCAGTGGCGTGAAGATCACGGCTGCCTAGAGGTGGATTTGATGGCACAAGTTGCACTATCAAACTTTTTAAGTGGCATGTTTTGAGAGGACACATTTCAAGAGGGCTATGAATGAAAAGTTTCAAAAAACATGGAACAGACCGCAGCAAGTGTAATTGTGTATCATCTACGATTTTTAAATTCTACTTTCCCTTCCTCTGTTTTTAAAAAAGGTGAACAATAAAATATGTTGGGGGAAGGAGAGGTTAGGTTTTTGCGCAATCGAACTTGAGAGGGCGATGGCACCCATGGTGGAGATGATTGACTGTGATTATAATTTGGGGATTTCGCCGAGAGTGCAGTCAATATAAATAGTATTTTATTGGATTGATTTGCGGATGTTCCAACCTACATTGTAGGTCTTCATCAGGGCTACAAATGATACAAACTATAAATATTAATTGATACAAATGCAAAGTGGTATCAACTAACATTCGTAGTTTTTTTTCTTGTTTAGCCATGATGAAGGAACATCTACAACACACTATTATATTATATAGTATTTATATTGACTGCACCTCTGATTAACTCCTCATATTTTCAACCAGGTTTGGAGAGATTTGTAAATATACTTTACATTATTTTCTCAATCAGCTCAGTTCTAATTTATTTTTAAATTTAGCTGAATGTATTCATTCATTCCAGTGCAGTGTCGTAAATATTTTGGGAAGCTGCTCCTCCCCTCCCATAGCCTAATACATTCTCACTACTCCCCCTCTCCTGTGCATTTTGATTACAGATATTAATGTTGTCTACACATAAAATACCTAAGTATTCAGGTAAGTATTTAACAAACATTTTCAATTTAAATATTTGTTATCACAATATGACCCACACTTACAATATTAACTAACTCTGTTAGTTAACTCAAGCAATCTCTATCTGAACCCTTGCCTTTTCTTTAAATGAAAATATTTTTCCACCACTTTATTTCAAGTCAAGAGTCAGTGACCTAAATGACACCTATGCAATGCATTGGTGCCTAGAAGAGGTTATGGTAGTTTTTACTTATTTATTGTTAGCGAAATTAAATACGATTTTTTATTTTTACCAGTGAGTCCGAAAAATGTAAGGTGAAGTTGTACTTTAAGAATAAGCATTAAATTTTTTTTTTTTCTGGAAAATAGGTGCAGAAGAAAAATGTTCTCATTGATGCACAGTCCTCCTTAGGTATCTTAGGTTGCTGTCAAGATTAGACCGGGTTCTGCTCCATTCTCAGGACTCCAATCCAATAGCCTTGTGTTACTCACCTTGCACTGCAGTTGAAATAAGAAACCTGCTTCTCCTCATATCCTGGATTACATTGTCATCTTTCAGATAGAGAATTTTTTTAAATGAGAAAAAAAGTGAGTTGTCGCCTATTTCTGAAACTTTCATTCCTTTGATTTTATTATTTTAGCAATCTCTGAAGAGATTTTCTTTGGTTTGAGAGAAAAGAAAACTATTGTGCTAAAAAAAATAAACATTACTCACGGACTACATTTCAAATGCACTAGAAGGTAGATTATACGCTACTGGCGTATTTCTGAATATCACTCAAGCATTCCACAATCTGGCAGGATGGACTGCTCTACAAACTTAAATCATTTCTTCCATCTACCTATTTTCTCATTCTTCACTCCTTCCTTTCAAACAGATTTTTCTCTGCCCGACAGGGATCGATTTTTGCCCCTCTACTGTACATTATATCACATTATATGTGAGCCCTGCATTTCACTAGAGGCAACCGACACTAGGCAGGCATGGCAATGAACACATGTATATTTCGCAATGTGGTTTTCTAGATTTTCAATGATCCCCCTCCTCCACCTGGAGTTATAAAAACAGGAAACGAATTATCTTGTTTAAAAGATGATAGCAGGAGTTCCATAGAGAAGTATGCTGAGACCATTATTTTTCAATATTTTCACCGCGAACATACCTGACATGATTAAAATTTACTGACTAAATTTTCTGATGATACTGTTTTCCTCACATGTGAAAACCCTTTATTTATTTTACAATAAAGAACCAGCTTGACGATGTTTTTTATTGGGCTACCAGTCGGAAGCTAAAATGAATGAAATAAGTGTATTCCTTGTCATAATACTAATTCCCAATCATATTTCCACTCAACCCTCAACGGGCTGAAAAGAAAACAACAAATGGTTTGAACTACTATACAGGTTACTAGACAAATGCTCCAAATTGTTTTGAACTAACAAATTTTCCACCTATAATTTATAATTTTTTTAGACACGTAGGATAGTGAGACTGCCTAAAAATCCAGAATATTCAATCTTTTCTGTTGAAAGTAGATAAAAAAATAATGGAGACACCATTTTATGTGAAAAATGACTTGCTATACATAGCTGAAACTTTTTAAAATTAAAAATATACAAATAATGTACATATCGTTGGTTTATAGCAAATATCATTTCATAACCTCAAATAATGAAGAACGTTTCCATTGTAAAATCAGAAAATTGTGTTCTTAGCGTAACTATATGTAATAAACGAAAGGATGTGTGTCATTATCATGCACTTGTGGTGTTATTTTAGATATAACTAGGATCAAAATCCACAAAAACATGTTTGAAAGTTAACCTATATTAAAAATGCAATTAATGACTTTTGAAATAAACCAACGATATATTGTACCAAATTAATTTGACGCCTAAAAGATCCTGAATTTATGCTAGAGATGTTTTCCTCTTCCATTAGTACCATGTTTCTCTTTGGCCTTACTTGGTATCCCACCTCTTTGTCATGGAAAGTTATTTACTTGTTATTGTAAGGTTATAAACTTTTATTTTAGTTTTCGACAGGATGGAGTTAGTTAATTAGGATGAATTTGTGATTAATTAAAGAGCTTCAATCTTATTTTAATTTTTTTTTGGCAATTTATGATCTTTTTAACTTTACCTTTAAGAAGCATTGCTTTCTGCTATATTAGGTTTATACTGAAAGAATCTAGAATGCCGAAGTATGCTGTTGCTGTAGGCCGAAAAGTAGGTATTTTTGATACTTATGATGAATGTAAGTTACAAGTTATTAATTATCCAAAGGCAAAGTTCAAAAAATTTGAGCGTTTTGAAGATGCTGAAGCATTTATTAAAGAACATTCTAAATGTGGTTATAATAGTAATAGCATTCCTACAATTGATCCTATGTCGCAAGTTTCAAAAGAAAATGTGAACAAACCTGAATTGATTAAACTAGATAAAATATCTCCTAAAGATGATCTCTTTACATTAATGACCAGGATACATAACATTGAAGAGAAACTCAACAAATTTATTACTGAAACTAACACAAAATTGGAAAATCTTATTTCTCGCGTGAATTCATCTGAAGTCAAAATTCTGGATACCTCAAATGAACCTCCTGCTAAGAAGGTTAAGGTTGATTGTGAACCAAAAGGGGTTGTTACTAATGATGATGGTTTTGTGGTTGTTTATACAGATGGTGCATGTAGTAAGAATGGTAAAATGGGCGCCAAAGCCGGTATAGGCATCTGGTTTAATGATAATCATCCTCTGAACATTTCAGCTCCAGTTCAAGGTCCAGCAACTAACAACAATGCTGAAATACAAGCAGCCCGAGTAGCAATCACGCAAGCTAGTTTGGCTGGCGTTCAAAAATTAAGAATCAACACAGATTCAAAATTTGTTATAAACTGTATTACCCAATGGATTCACAAGTGGAAGAAAAATAATTGGCAACTTTCTTCAGGAGGTCCTGTGAAAAACAAAGAAGAACTAATCAAATTGGATAATGCTCTTCAAAGTATAGAAGTTGTAGAATGGGTTTACGTCGCAGGTCATAAGGGTATTCATGGAAATGAAATGGCTGATAAACTTGCGAGGGATGGTGCCAACAGATATAAAACTAATTTAACATTTTCCAATAATGCTGATTCATATAATGTTGAGTATGTGAAATATGATTAAAAGGAATTTTATAATCTTTGTTAGGTTTTAAGATGAATTTATTTATGTAAGTTAAATTAAAATTGTGATATATGAATTGATTTTGCTTTTACATGTCAACATTTAAAGAATGTTTGATTGCAAAATTTGTCCATTTTTTTTCTTCTTTAAATGTTTCCTTTTCAATATCTTTATTTTTTTGGTACTAGGCTGGTTAATGGGAATTCTGTTGTACTTAGTCATACTTATTCAATATTTACTCCCACTGTTAAATTTGTTTAACTCTTGATAAATCACACTATTTGACTTTTCTGTTTGTATTAAGGTCATCTTACAATGTTTACCAAATGATACCTAAGTACAATAGTAGATATTTGTTATCATTTAAAGTTTTCAGTAAATCTTTCATTAGTCAATATAGGTTTGGTGAGTGTAGTTTACAAATGGAGGTTAAAGAAATGTGTATAGCTGATAAATAGAATATTATTCACTAAACAATAAATAAATTACTGGAGTACTTACTACATAAAATGCAGGAAATAAAAATGACTAATACTTAGGCATATACTGCTTAAAGTACATATATATATAAAACTTTTTTTTCTCCCCTTCCTCGTCTTTTAGGCTATGCTGGGTTTTCCACAATTAATTTATTTTTTATAACTTCGGTTATCAGGTAGCTGGGTAACACGCGCTGCTGTGCAAACACGCTAGCCTGCTTGGCCATCCCACCCCCCACATATATATAAAACTAATAATTACATCACTTTAGTGATTTTTATAAATATGTCATTTTGGAGATTAATGAGATCTTAATTATTAAA